GCTTTTTTGTAAGGTTTCTTCCCAACTCCTCTTCGCATCTGTCGATGTCATGTGCGAATTGAGTGATGTTTAATTGACTTTCCAGGCGCAGCTGGTCGAAAGTACTACAACGTTTGTTCAAATCATTAAACGGTCCAATAATTCGCCAGTTTAACTTACCCTAGAGGCATTTTATACCCCGTCAGAAAGGAGTAAACAATACTCATATGTGACCACGGATTTTGTATCTAATTGATAATTAGAGCAGCGACTGGAATTAAGTGTACACGTGCAAAAAATTTAATGTAACATTTATTTTTTTACGCGATTTTACTACTAAATAGATATATGTAGTAAATATGTAGAGAATGCGTATAAAATGTAGAGAATGAATATAATACATGTCAGAACTGAAGCAAACAAAGAAAACGCGGCAAAAGGCTGAAACGCTCTAACTACTAAATAAATATATAATAGAACAGTATAGAATAAGTGACAGTAACAGCATACACAGCAATTTTGAATCCTATCTGCCTACCACTCAGTCGCTGTGCCTAATAACTCGTGCCACAGTACGACTGTGTCAAAAGTTACCGTCAGTAACAATAAAATAAATTACAATAATGACCAGTGATTTTGAAAACAGCAGCGTGGAATTATGGCGTAAAATGTGATATATATTGTGATACATATATATTACTCCATCTAAAGTAATTTATTCTGCGTAACGGCCTCCATTCATCGCGAGGATAGCGTAATGAAAATTACATCTATGTTTACAATGACAGCCAAGAACGATGGACAACGACAGAATAAATTCACAAAACTTCAAGATATTTTGATGCGATCTCACTACAGCTAGGGTAATTTACACCAATTTCCATCAATCACACTTCGTTGACGGCTGAGGCACGCCACCAGTAAAGAAACAGACAGTCGGCCCATACAGAAACTCCTCTCCACGCTACCAGTGCACTTCACTGACGGTCACTGCAATACAATCTGTTAACGACCACAGGGGCGTAGGGGTGCCATCTCTGTTTCGCAAGGAACAGCCGAATCATATAGGCGAAATTTTCTGAAATCTGACTAGCAAAATTTTAGCATAGACGACATAGTTCAAACAATATTAGATTCGGATGGACGAAGCGACACGAAGCTGTAATTATGAAAACCTAACAATCAACTTTTGAAAGCCTGGAGTACGGTATTTAGCGCCTATAAACTTAAAGCAACGAATTTAGCAAATCCAAAACATTAGTGTCATGAAACATATTTTGTGCTGTACGGTTAGAGTGAAGCATAAAAAATCTGAAAGACTTATCATTAAAAGACAGAATGCTTCATTAAATAATTGATTTGCAAACCGCTTTCTCTGCCTCCCAACATGATTAAAAATGTAGATCGAATTTTGAAAGGCACTCACAGCAGAATTTTTTTTGAAAATAGAAACATTTTATTCGACACTGTACAAACTATACAACCATCATCAGCACAAAAAAATTAAGTCAAGGTGTGCACCATATGAAATACAAAGTCAATCATGCTGCTGCTTTAACTGCTCGCTGCTGGGCAGGCTTCCTTTTGATCACAGCTCTCTTCTTTTTCGCCGGTGATGCCTTCTTTATCGTCGCCTCTGTTTTCTTTGCGGGCGTTGAACGACGCATCTTTGTTTTGGTGGAAGGCGACTTGTTGCTCGTCGTTTGCCTCTTCGGCTTTTTCGGACTGCTGGTCTTCAGCTTACGTGCCTTTTTTTCACCAGTTTTTGGTTTAGCTAAAAAACAAATTTAAAACTCAACGCAAATCGCCACTGATTACTGATAACTAGACAAGTCCATGTACAGAAGGGCAAATTAACCAGTTAATCGCACGCGTACCGACAAGCCTCCTCCTCTTGCTCTGCTTAACGCTACGTTCACCTAAACGGAACCTTCCCGAAGCACCAATGCCCGCCGAC